AACTTTAAGTAATGATTTTTTACTATATGTAATTAAATAATATATAAGATATCAAGAATATCATATATATATAATATATATATTTATTAATATATGTACATACTTATCAATAATTGTACACATTTGCATGCTATAAATTACAGATTTGCTTGTCCCTACTGTATATCCTTTCATGTGACAAAACGATGCACTGATATCCTATATATGTATCCAGTGCACTGGACTGGCACCGTCAAAATATCTCGTGCCACTTAGTGCGCACTACGCGAGTGTCGTGCGGTCAAATGAACACGTGACACTAGCTAAGTGCGCATTGGCATTGCCAATCGAACACGCTCTTGACACTGAGTGCAGCTAGTGCACCCCAATCGAAAACGATATTAGAGATCCTCAAGTAAGAGATGCGCGAACTTCGAGCATTTGCAAGAACATGACGACCTCCACACACATATGACATATGATGGAGGTCTTGCAAATGCTCGAAGTTCGCGTATCTCTTATTTAAGGATCTCTAGTGCACCCCGTGCACCCCAATCGAAAATGATATAACTCAACTCATGGTATACAAGACAGCGTTGAGTTATCATGATTCATGAAGGTACTAAGTGGCAGTAGGTGGTTACGTCTATCATATTTTTCAGTGAAACTAACTCAAATTTGACTTATCGAAAGTAGAGACCCTCTAATCAGAATCTGGACACCTGAAGTCTGCCAATATTCATCGAAATTGTGCGAGAGAGAAAAATCATGCTATCTCACTCTAGTGACGCTGTAAGTTGTAGCTCTGTAAACTTCATAGTTTCTGACATACGACATTTTGGCATTGGCTGCGTTCAGCAGACTCAACAGTTTTGCAACCGTTTTATGATTGTCTGCTGAGATAGGACCATTCTTCTAGATCTAAAAGTATGATCCAATCAGCGCGAAGGAAACTTCCAACAGTTGCAAAACAAACGTTCTGCTGAACGCACCCATAGTTTCATCATTGTGATTTTCATTCGCTCGTGAGCTCTCGTACAGTGCAGTGTTGCCAGATCGTGGATTTTCTCCCTAGATTTAGGATTATTTTTTAGGCTTGGGGAGAAATTTAGAAAGACAAAATGTTTAGGGAGAACGTTTAGGGTTATTTTGTAGTTTTGGGGAGAAATTTAGGGAGACAAAATATTTAGTGAATATGTTTAGAGTTTCTGATTACTATAAAGAAATTTGTTTTCCACGGCGCTGGTTGGCTGCGATGTTTCGTGCCTTGCAGCCAAGAAGACTAGAACTAAGGAGGATCAACTCGTGCCAATAGCGGTAGTGGGGGTGAGGTAAAAAGTGGCGACGGATAACTTCCCCCACTCTTGCGCTTCATTAGTCCTCTCTGTCGCTCTATATAGTCGTCGCTTTGTCGTTCTATAATCGTCACTTTGTCGCTCTTATATCGAACTTTCACACAATGCGCAGTGCCGCTGCACATTGTGTGAATAACTGCGGACGTTTTTTGACTCACCCCCACCACACGAGTTGATCCTCCTTAGTTCTAGTCTTCTTGCTTGCAGCCTACATTTCCATTCTTGGTGGCCGTACTTGACTCGCGTAGTGGCCGAGTAGCGTTGCGCGCGCCTGGTCGAAAAAAAGACAGCGATAGAAGAAGATAGGGGAGCAAGGGACAGATACAGAATTTACGAAAGTTTGCATTTGTGCGTGCATTGCATAACTGTATTAATTGTATTGCCGTTGATGCTTGCCTACGTATATTTTGAAACTCGCCATGTAGTAATGCGGATGTATGTACAACCTCTCATCCTCATCAGAGTGTCAGCTATTTTCAATATAGCACTACAAATAAACTAGACAAGTTGGCTACTGCATTTGCATAAAAATAAGGTATGTTATAATGCTCGCTGGAATAGTTTACTGAGATTGAGCCTACGTAATATATCTTTTTACAGTACATAAACTTTATAATATCTATAAATGTAGACGCTCGTGTAAAGTGTGCCAATCTCTAACTGTCGTTACTTTTTACTATTAAAATTTGACAATATGCCACAAACAACTAATCAAAAGCAGTACATATAAAAGTACGTAAAAACTTGGGAAAATGAAATCGAATTCAAAGGTGTGAAGAATTAATTTTGTTATTTAATTTGGCAAAGTTAATTTTAGAAATACAAATTATAATTTATTAATGAATCTTCTAGGTTGGTTGAAACCCTGTATTGGGGACAATACGAAAGCACGCTGTGCTTTTTGTAATATCGATATTTTAGCACATCGAAAATCGTTGAAAACGCATAGCTGCACCAAAAAGCACATTCAAAATGCGAAGAATGATAAGGAATGCTTGCAACTCCATAAAATTGAAAATTTTACAACACTACATATTAATGATCGTCGAAAAATAGCTGAGTTAAAAATAGCTATTGATGATTTTGGCAAAATTATAAAAGATTTGGACGCGACTTCTCATGTACTTACAAATATTAAGATTCACCGTACAAAATGTACAGGGTTGATTGTAAATGTCATTTCCCCTTGTTTATTTAAAGAAATGCTTGATGACTTGGGAGAATCTTATTATTCGTTAATTATTGACGAAAGTACAGCGATAGATAACACAAAAGTCTTATGTACTATGATTCGATTTTTTAGCTTAATTTTAAAGAAAATTCGCACATTTTATAAATTAATTCAATTAGAACCGCTGAAAGTATAACCAACTTATTGATAAATCATCTTCAAAATGATGGTTTAAATATAAAACATTTAATTGGTATATATATATATATATATATATATATATAGGGGTCGATGGAACGAACAGTATGGTTGGCAAAAATGACTCGGTAGCATCTAGATTAAAACGTATAATTCCTCATTTAGTGGTTATAAAATGTGTTTGTCACTCACTTCATCTGACCGCTGAAAAGTCTTGTGATGTTTTACCAAGAAATTTAGATTACTTAGTTAAAAAGAGTCACACTTGGTTTTCGCATAGTACAAAAAGAATTATCGAATATAGGAAAATATATGAAACTATAAATCAGAATATGCCGAAAAAAATTGCTAAATTATCAGGAACTCGGTGGCTCGCTCGTATAGAAGCCATTAAAACCATTATTGATCAATGGGATGAACTGAAACTATATTTTGAAATGGCTAAAAATTCCAATCGATGCAGTGAAGGATATGTTGCTGAGGAATTATACAACATGTATAAAAGTGATGAAAATAAGATTTATTTGATATTTCTACGTGATGCTTTAAAAGATATTACCAACATAAATAAACTTTTTCAGTCTAATGAAATAGAACCACTTAAACTGTTCAAAGATCTTAATCATCTGTTATATTTAATTTTACAAAAAATCGTTGTGCCTAGTCAGTTGGAAAAGGTAAAACATCAAGATTTGACTAATTATAACTTTCAAGATTATCTCATGTTTGTAGATTGTGTGGATTATGGATATTATTTTAATGAATTTTCTTCAAAGATTAATCCTCAAAATTTGAAAGACATTAAAGAAAGGTGCAAAGCATTTTATATCGAATTAGTCAAACAATTACAAAAGCAAATTCCGGAAAATTTGCAAATTTTAGAAAAACTTAGTTATTTCACTCCAGAAAATGCAATGAATAAATAAAAAAATGACATTATAGATATAGTTGTTAGTTTTAAAGAAATTTGTTTGGACATTGAATCTACCGTTAAAGAGTGGAATGCTCTGCATCGTTTCGAAGTAAACACAAATAATTCAGAAGATTATTGTGCTAAAGTAAATAATGAAACAGATGCTGCCGGTGAAAAGCGTTTTGGACACGTCTCAAAATTAGTTCTTGCGCTTCTCTATCTGTCATTTTCTAACGCTGAAGTCGAGAGAGCATTTTCAATAATGAATATTATCAAAGATAAGCTGCGAAATAGACTAATCATTAGAACATTAGATGCAATCCTCAGAGTGCGATTTTTATTGCCGAATACATGCAGAGACTTTCAACCATCAAGACAAATGTTACAAAAATTTGTAAGTGAGACAGTTTACGGAGGACAAATCGATAACGAAGCTTTAGATGTTCTAAATTATTTTGATATGACTGAAAAATTTAAGGCATAAATTTCTTTTTTTGTGATGTAACGTATTCCTCTTTAAAATTATATACCGTGTGCATAACTGTATAAGCGATTAAAGAAATGTAATATATGTATATATGTACATTGTTTATGTATTGTGTATTTAATTTATTATCTGTGTTTATTACTAATTTAAATTTAATAAATACGTCATATAATATTAGCTTGAAATGTTTACCTTCTAAAAATAGATTTAAAATATTTCTTATTCCCTTCTCTATATTATACATTAATATGTAAAATTATTAAATTAAATAGAAATTTTTAATGTTCAATTATTTTATTTTGAACATAATATTTGATAATTTTTTATTCACATCATTGCTGTCGTGTAAATGATCTATTGTTTTTAGCTTAAACTCATCGTTTATAAATAAACAGAAAACATTTATAATAAAAATTTATTGAAAAACGTCTATAAATAAACGGAATAACATTTAGGGAGAAATTTAGGGTTTTTTTCAGTACTCCTCAGGGAGATTTAGGGAGAATCCGAGACTGTTTTAGGGGGAAGTCGATAAAGGCATCTGGCAACACTGGTACAGTGTGGACCTTTTTGCGCCTGCGCTCTGCCGTTGTCTCCTGTGCTTCCCCGGCTTTGGCCTGCTTTTCTTGTTATCTGTGCTTTCCTCTTTGAGGTTTCTTTTATCCTTTTACGCGTAAGTACGCTCTTTTTTTGCCTGCTCAGTAGCCTTTTGTCCCTGCTATGCAAGAAGGTGTCTCTGCCCCGCCGGATTCTGGCGGTGGCTCGGCACCCGTTGGTACACGAGTTTCTGCGTCCCTTGAGGACTTTAATGTTTTTTTCGGGCGCGCGAGCGGTGGTCATGATGCTGATGGAAATAAACAGCCTGAGACAGCACATTTAATGCTCCCACCTTCGGCTAATTACCTAAAATCATCATCGCCGGTTGCATCATCCTCTTGCAAAAAGGCGGACATTAAACAAAAAAAGAAGGGCAAGAGGGGAAGGGACACACGAATCTCGACTTCGCGTGATCCATGGTGTAAGAAACAAGGTGTGCTTATGCGCAGGCATTTCTATTGACCAATAAGAAAGCGTGATAAGTTTCCGCCATCTTATAAAATTATAGAGGGTATTTGAAATTGAGCAAGTTCTTAAAGAATGTATATAAAAATATTTATTATAAATGTATTTTGACAATACAAACATAAATGTAAACGGACAAAAGTAACAGACAATAAATATATACGTAAAAAATATAAATATATATTAAAATTATTTGGTAGTAACTCTACGGTTTGTAAATATAGACATTTTTTTGTTATACTTTCTTTTGTGATTGTCGGCCGAAATTTGTTTGTTAATTATTCGCACTCTGATGTAAGTTCGCGTACGAATTAAACATAATAATACTTCTCGTGGTATTGTCGTATTTATTATTTTTTCTTCTATTTTATTTGCAATTATTTTAAAAATCCCTGGACCTTTCTGAATGAAGTTCCCATGATAATTTTGAAATTCTTCGTTCATTATTTTTGCTACTTCCAATAATTCAGAACAAGGACTTATTAATTTTCCTTTTGAAATGTGGTTAATCCAGTCGTTTTGTAGATTAACTACCATTTCAGTCGAAGTGCCTAAATGATTGTACTTATTTGCAAATCTAGACGCTGCGTAACCGGCAATATATTTAAGGCCCTCTTCTTGAATAATGTTAATAGTATTTTCTAATTCTTCAACTTGATTTAGTAATGCTAATTCTTGTAATGTAGGGGAATAAGTAAATAAATTAATATCTGTAACAAATAATAGTGTTGCATGCATAAATATAAAATCGTAAGAACCTCTCTCGACGGTAATTTAATCATTTATTTTTACAATTAATGAATCTAAAATATAAAGTGCAAATACAAAATAGATTACATCACAATACTTAATATGTTATTATAAATAATTAATAACGCTAATAATTAATAATTATAGTTGTTACATACGTTATAATATAGATAAATATATTTTTCATTAAGAACAACCCAGACAGCACACAATATTTATAAAATATTTACAAAATATTTATAAGATTTATTTTAATATTTTATAAATATTTTTGTGGTCTCTTAGATTGCACAGATCATAAACATTATTATAAATATTATGAAATATTTATTGTAAATGTTATAGTATAAATACTTAATGAGACATTATAATCCAAGTAAAAAATACTTATTAGAAATATTTATTTTTATTTATCATAAATATTACATAAAATATTTAGTCTATATTTTAATAATATTTCGAATAAAGCTTTATATAAAATATGTAGCTTTGTATAAAATATGTGGAATATATATACATATAACATATTTCAAAAAAATGAATATTAATAAATATTTATCATAAATATTCACAAATATTCTGTGCTGTCTGGGAAATCTCACCACAAGCAGTACTTTCTTCAAAAGAAGTAGTTATTTCATCATCATGAGGTGAATAGTCGTCAAAATTAGTCACATGACCAATACTGAACTCGACATCATCGTCAATCGGCATTTCATTTAAATCGTCAGTAATACTACTAGTGAGACACGTTT